CCTCCCCCACCGAATTTTGAAAGTTGGGATTGGTGCAACCCCTCCAGGGGTTAAGGTTACAATTATCACTATCCATATCTACCCTTCCTAGTTCCAATAATGACCTACGAACAGCAGAAACTGGCTGTTCCAGATTTTCATGCCTAGTCGTGCTGCTTAAGGTCCCCTTACAGCAATTAATCTTCCGCAAAAAAATTATTACTGCTACAATTCCTAACAAACATAACACATACATTGAAAATATTATTCTCTAAATAATTAAGTTTTTGATTATGTTTCAAATCATCAATTTTAACGCTTATTGATTTCAATTTTTGAATATTATTTCTATCGGTTACTAAAGGATTATATGCCAGCTCTGACAACTGGAAATTGCAAAACTCAGACATATTTGTATGAATTGAATCTAGAATATCTAATTTTTCCAATTGAACAAAGAATGAAACAAATCTTCGTAAGATGATTTATGAGCTTTAGTTTTCTTAGTAACAAGATAAATAAAATAACGATCATCCGACTAATAAATAAGCTATGTTGCGTAATTGAGCTTGTTGAGATATCAACTCATGTTCGCTATTATAATAGTCTGTTTTATTAGAAAATTCACGATCTGTTATATAAAACAAATTAGTTTCTTTAGGCACGTCATGTAAACTTTGATCTGTATCAACAACGTTATCGTTAGAAACAGTACAATCCCCAATTTCTTTTAAAAAGTTCTTGTATAAATCGCGTCTGACTGAAATTTGGTGAATTCGTGACAAGCTATCTGCTTTATTACTCTTACCGGGTTTATAAATAATTTTACAATCATAATCTTCTAGTTTTAGTCTAAATCGTAAAATACGAGATCAAGTATCTGAAACTGAAAACAAACAAGTGGTTTGTGGTCCGTCACCATGGTAAATTTCCTTCTGTAAGCGTTTATTTAAGAATAACGCATTTACAAAGTCAAAACGGTACACTAATTATTCGGAGTCCGCATCCTCTGTCACGGCGTTCCGCCACGGCGCGACGGCTGTGGAAGCCTTGGGGCCACCCTCGCCTTCTCGGAAGGAGTGGCTCGGCGGGGAGTCGGGGCTGCGGCTCGCCCGTAGCTTATCCACCCTGACCGGACACCCAGTGCTTGTGGAGTTCGCTACGAAGGACGAGGAGACTTCTACTGGGCAAATCTTGAGGTATTCCACCTTGACCGGACACCCAGTGCTTGTGGAGATCACCCAAGAGAGCTGGTAGAACTCTGTCTATCGAAGGATGTGCTACCCTCTTTTATTAGTGATCCCTTCTCCTACTGCACGGCTGAGTCGGTTATTTGTCCAATGGGGTGAGGGTGGTCTGGCGTGGGAGATGTCGTACCGACATCTCCGCTGGCGACACGAGCGCTAACGCAGAGGGTCCGGCGGAGCGCACGGGTACTACTTTGGGGATGTTACACTTCCCAATAAATAGGGTCTAAAATGTTGTACGGACCAAATGAAGGCTAGTAATTCTCGTTCAATTGTGGAATAATTTCTTTCAGATTTATTTAGTATACGGCTATCATAAGCAATTGGAAGATCGCTTCCCCTCGAACCTTGTGACAATATAGAACCTATAGCGAATTGACTTGCATCCGTTGGGAGAATAAATTCTTTATTAAAATCAGGAAATTGTAGTATAGGCGGATTTTTCTTTTAGTTGTGAAAATGCATCTTCGCATAAAGCATTCCATTCAAATTTGACACCTTTTTTCAAGAGATTATTAAGTGGTTGAACAATTTGAGAAAAGTTTTTGGTGGAACGTCGACAATAATGCAAGACCTAAAAATGATTTCAACTGCTTTTCAGTTGTTGGAGTAGGAAATTTTAATACCGCGTCAGTCTTTTTTTGTATCGGGCCTTACCCCATCTTCAGATATAATATGCCCAAGGTAGTTAATTTCTTTTTTCAAGAACAAAGATCTACTAGGTTAAAAAAAAAAGAAAGTTAAGTTGTGTTGTCTAAGACCGGAAAAATGTCTATGAATTTTGAATTATGATCTCGTAGAGAACTACCGTAAATTATGACGTCGTCTAAGTAGACAAAACATTTTATTCCCTGGAAACCTGTTAAAACATTATTCATCTCTTAAAAGTAGCTGGAGCTCCTTTCAGGCCCATTGGCATTCAACAGTACTCATAGTGCCCGTAAAAAGAAAAAGCCGTTAAACGAATTTTGAGCAAGATCCACAACGGAGAAATAGGTACTTAGAATTCCCCAATTGGTCCAATATTTCCGTAATTTTAGGCAATAGGTCAAACCAGTCGCCATTTTTTGCTTCTATCGGTACCTGCTTTTTTTGCAACAACTAGAATTGAAAAATTATAACAAGAATGACTGTTTTGAATTATGCCATTATCAAGTATTTTTTGAACTTGATCTTACACTTCCAGCTTTTGACTCTAAGGCAACCGGTATGGGTTTAGAAATATGTATATATTACTACTATATTTGTGTGTGTTAATTTGTCACCTTCTAAATACAATAAATCATTAAACTAGCGACAAATATTTAATATTGAATCGCGCTCTTCCGAATTCGTGTGACTTGTATCAGTCTGTTCCTCTAAAGATTATATACGTTTTGACCGGAGGATGGGAACAAAGTTAATGACTTGATAGTTGCTTAAGTTTTCAAACTCGAGTTTTTCGGTATTTAATTCTAAAGGACTTTCAGATGACTTTATTAGATTTATTTTACAAAATCCATTCTTTGGTTCTACAATGCAATTTCCGACATATATAACCCTGGTAATATTTCTTTTTGTAAACAAATTTTTGAGTCATTGAAATTAACAGGTACTGACACCACGTACTCACAACGAGCTGAAATAAAGAAGGTTTTATATTGGATATTCGAATAATTTGTGACCGTAAGCAAATTTCTTTACCATTAACTGATAAGGAGAACTTAGCACATCTCGTGGTGTGAGTATAATGGTGTGGCGGTGCGCATGACTAGCTCTGTCTTTCTCGGCCGTGTGACGTCAGATTCGGAGCAACCCTGCAGAAACAATCATAAGCAACCACGGTGCGTATCTGTTTAAAATATGAAAAAGAACGTATATCAATATTTTACTGCAAATCCTTTATTTTATAACTTTAATAGACTACAATATGTACTGTTTTTTGTCATTTGCTGATCACAAGATACAAAAGACCTGCTTGAAACGACCGTGTTAATCCATTGCAAACTGAGCAGTCGCAATTAGATGGATATGTAAATTTGACAACTTACATAAAAGCGAATAAAACTGTGTGAAGTAGAATGACTGTAACTACTAAATGTAAAATTTATTGTTTTTCTATTTTATATTAATATATGGTTACATTATAAGATACCCATAAAAATATATACATTAAAACAAAGTAAGGTACAAATTAAAAATTCTGGCAACTATTATGTAAAAATGTTCTTATTAAAATGTTAAACATAAAGTCATTTTACATTATTTTTTTGCGTTTGTAAATTTAGACATTTTTCGGTTTAATTTTCGCTGATTATTTATAAAATGGACTTTTCTGTTTAACTCTTTCAGTCGTATGTAAGTTCTAGTTCGAGCTAGACAGAGAATGACTTCATATGGAATATTTATATCTGGTATTTTTTCAATTGTTTTGTTGGCTAATTTGTTAAATATTAAAGTTTCGTTATTCAGGGAATCTCCATGGAAAATATGAAATTCAGTTTCCATCGTTGTTGCTGCTTTAAGAAGATCAGAACTTGGATACATTAAATGCCCTTTTGAAATAAATTGCAGCCAATCCGGTGCAGTGTGATCAAAGAATAAATGTTGAGTTTGAACTCCCAAATTCTGATATTTATCCCTAAACCTATGTGCAATATAACCTGCTACATATTTTAAGCCTTCATAGCTAATAATGTTATTAGAAGACAAAATTTTTGAATTAGAGTCATTTCTCTGATCAACAGAAGTCACATCTATTTGAGAGTTGTCAAATGCACGTAAAATTGTATTTTCTTCTTCACACGTTTCATTAACATCTGGTATGTTTTTCAAAAAAGTTCTTAACACAGACTGAGAAAAGCAAACGTCATTATCCGCACTCATTGGTTTAATCAGGCAGCTTTCACGAGTATTTTCTTCGACATTTCTGTCCTGTTATGCTCCTAGCGTGACGTCATGCGCGCACAGATGTGCATTTCCGACAACTATCCGCCACACCATTATTCTCCCACCACGGCACATCTCAAATTTATTATTGCATGAGAAGCGGAAAGAAAAGCATGACCCAGAATTCCATGACCTCGCATAATCTTGAAGTAGAAATTTCCAGACCAGGGTCAATGCCGTTATATGACAAATGCAATGGCAATCACACGCTAAGCAAATTGGAATTTTTCAGTGATATAGTGAAAACTGTAGAATCATTATTTTTTTAACTAGGAGACATTTGAAACTGTTTATCTAGGCAGTTATGAGGTTTTGGGCCGGAGTTTCGCTGTCCGTTCCCCGAATAAGAATTTCGATTGTTAGAATAAGAATTCTGGCTTTTGTCAGCAGTATTATATGAAATGTTTTGGTAACTTGATCGCTTAGCATTATTATACTGACTGGTTCGGCCGTTGTGTGATGTTGTAAAAATGAAAGAGCGGACTATATTTTTAACACTTTACCGTTCACTCAGCTCGTCTGCCACCTAACTACTGGTTCTAATACACAAGGTACAAAATAAGTAAACAGACCCTTGGGAGGGGGCGGTCGGTCCGCCCCTTTGGTCGTACGGCCGTACCATGCCGCCGCCCTTGAATTCTTCTGAATTCGAAAGATTAAAATACAGAATGGCAAATAAAAAATAAGGGTTACACAGAATTCTGGAATATTGTTAAAATACAAGATTGGTATATAATACGAGATAAATATATGAAATGTATATAAGAACAATGTTCGAGAAAAACACTGGTCTGCGAGTCCTTGCACTGCACTCGTAAAATTGCCCTTAACACTCCCGCACAATAATCACTCGCTGGTGTCGATGTCCTGATCCAATGGCAGGATGGATAATTTGGACGCGGCTCTCTTATAGACCCCCTTGCTCGTGCGGACCGTTGCGACACGTACTAGGCCGTCGCTACCTGGATGTACCTCCAGCACTCCTCCCATCGGCCACGTCATAGGTGGGGTTTGTTCGTCAACGAGAAGTACCAGACATCCAGGTGTAAGGGAACGTTCTGGAGCTGTCTTCCACTTGTTTCTTGCTTGTAATTGGGTCACGTACTCCCGTTGGAATCTCCTCCAAAATTGTTGACGCATCCGTTCCGTGATCTGCCAACGGTCTAGTCGATTAAGATTGACATCCTGTACGTCTCTTTCTGGTAGGGCGGTCAAACTTTCGCCGATAAGGAAATGCCCCGGAGTCAATACTGATAGGTCATTGGGATCCGCGGATAATGGGGTAAGTGGCCGCGAGTTGAGACAGGCTTCAACCCGAGTGAGGAAGGTGCACATTTCCTCGAACGTGAGCAACGCACTCCCAATCACCCTCTTTAAATGGCGTTTTACTGATTTAATATTACCTTCCCCTTTCGTACAATATTTTTAAACTCGTCGCTGGTGATGAAATTAGTTAGTTCATTTTTTCCGCCTACAAAATTTGTTGCATTATCGGAGTGTATTTCCGACACGTTTCTCCTGCGTGAAATAAACCTTTTAAACACGCTCAGAAAGGCGCTAGATGTTAGATTGCTCACTAGTGCTCTAGATGGACGGCCTTGGTGCAGAGACATACAAAAAGGGCTATGTAGGCCTTAACTGAGCGCTTACCTCTGCCGCGATCTTCTTTTATGTTAATCGGTCCGCAATAGTCTACACCAGATTTTGAAAATGGTCTGGCTGGCTGCAATCTTTGATGTGGGAGATCGCCCATTTTTTGGTAATGTATTTTCGGGTTTGATTTGAAACATGGGATACACTTGTGTAAAACTTCCCTAATCGTGTTACGGGCTGCAATGATCCAAAACTGCTGTCTAATTACAGCAAGTGTGGCCTGCGCTCCGGCGTGCAATTGCTGCTTGTGAAAATGCTCGATTACCAACTTGGTAAAGTGGTGACCCTTTGGAAGTAGTATGGGATGTTTTACAGCAAATGTTAAATTTGAATTACGCAATCTCCCACCAACTCTGATAATTTGATCTTTGTCTAAAAATGGGCTCAAACTTAAAATTGAACTATTTTTATTGACTACACCCTTTGTCTCTAGTTCATGAAATTCCCTGCAAAATGTTTGTTTTTGAACGTATCTAACAATTTTATTTTGAGCATTCTGAAAATCTTGGACATCTAGTTGCCCCTTCTTGTGGTCTTGTTTTGACTGTATGTAGTCACTGAAACGAAATATGTACGCCACACATTTTATTAGTCGGTTGTAATCGGAAAAGGTTTCTATTAATTTAAGTGAATTGTCACAAACAGTCATTACGACTGTTTTATGGGTTTCGGGAATGTTTTCGTCAAAGTTTCATTCATTGTGGGACCATTTAGGCCAGTTATCTGGTTCTTCGGCTAACCAGCTTGGCCCATGCCACCACAGATTTCGGCTTGAGAACTGCTGTGCGGACATACCCCGCGAAACTATGTCGGCTGGATTGTCAGCGCTATTGACATGGACCCATTCCTCGATATTAGTTTTAGACTGAATTTGTGCGACTCTGTTAGCTACAAAAATTTGCCAATGACTAGCAGGACGTGCTAGCCAGTGTAAACCTATCGTGGAATCGGTCCAGAGAAATTTTGACGTGATGTTAATATCCAACAAATGAATGATACGTGTTGTCGTGCCCAAATAGTTTTGACCGCGGCCGAGCTTTTGGACACTAACAAAATTATTTATTTGGGTGTAGGCCCATTTCCTTGGAAATGGAAGAGCTAAACTGCATGTAGGGGAAGAGGTAATAATTAAACATTTATAACATTTTTATACGTATATTAAAAGAAGGCATTATAAGCATGTCAAAAGAATAATCGAGTAAATGTGTAAATAATGAACGGAAAAATAAAACATAAAATAAATTCACACACATAACACGAAAAAAAAAACAACATGCAAAACTATCTTCTAAAGCGCTACGCAATTATATTCCACTAATAAAACTCTTAAAATCTATGAACATAACCCACATTTTTAATTAATAAATTTAATCCTAGAAAAATCACCATGCAAAAAGACTAAAAATTAATTCGGTAAATCCTTAATTAAGTGCGATACCTCCTAAACAAAATTAATATCACGAGCGTGATAAATAAACAAAAAAAAACTACTAACTACGAAATCGAATAATTACTTAATTATTTAAATAAATTGCGATTGGGGATTTATATATTAATTAAACTGAAATAATAATAAAACCAATAATTCAGTGGATTCGAAGAAATCTCCACTGATTATAAGAACAACTAAAAATAACGGATTAAAATCATGCACTTAAATCTACGACAACTTATGAATATAAATATGTAAAAAGAGAGATAAATGAGTTTATACATACATTGATTAGCTAAATATGCCGAGCACAATAATTGTTCACGAGAAAAATTTATGGTTACAGGACAGTTAGATACATGTAAAAATAAACAGTCACAATTTATAAATGCAGTTAAACATTGGGAAATTAGTATCATAAATGCGCTAAAATACAGTGAGACGATTCAAATAAAATATAATGTGAGGTTTCCAAATACTATAGCAAAATAATCAGAGAACGGAGTCATATTTAAACGGTAAAAATTCAATATAAAATGATTGACAGCAAGAAAATTAGAACCGACGCAAGGCTAAACGTGCCATCTGCAAACGGGAACATATGGAAGCACTAAAGATTACTTTCGGTGCCGGCGCTAACTGTTCACACCCGACGTAACGAAGAAAACGCATAAATTAAACGCTACACATTTACGATTCGAACTCGAGAACACATGACGAAAAAACGGAAAGCAAGATAAATCAAGAATGACGAAAAGGTAGACTTACACAGCTGCAGCATTGAGAATTTTTTTATCTTCCTCTCGGGCTCAGCAAATTCTTCTAAGCTGGGATTTCTTCAAAATTCAGCAAAATTAATAAAAATCTCGACGAACGATTCGGCAGAGTCCTCGACCGCAACTGGAAACTTCTACTGAAACCGTTTTCGGCGCTACTGCTTATATAGGGATTTTTACTCATTATTCTTGTCTTCCGTGACTTTAGTGGACTATATTTCTTCATGATTAGTGTATTACTCGGTACGGGATTTTAGGTTTTATTTCGTTGTTTTATAAGGGTTTAGCTTTTAATTATGGTTCCGCGGCTGACGTTTTTCATTGGTTAGTGTGTCGTATATTTTCGGGTTTTTTCAACTTGCGTCATGCTTTTCATGCCGTCATCGCTACATGTGGTTACTTGTTGTAGCTATTTTTAAAGAGGGCGTTTTTTTCTGAGGTTGTTTATGCGTCTGGGTTTCGTTTGCAGCTGTTTTAGTTTGGATACAATTTTAGATGAAAGTAATTGTGATTGGCGATGTTTATGGCGTATTATTTTGTACAGGTTATTTGCAATGTCTGGCAAGCGCAATGTTATTCGCAATTTGCGAATACGCGAATTTTGTTTATCTATTTGAATGGTACTATATGCCGATTAGGACATGCGTGTTAATTAATTAGATTTTAGTCTTTTTAGTTACAATTTTCTCGTGAACGAATTTAGTGACGGCTCGTCAGTGTCACTAAATCAGAAAGCAGTACCGCCGCCATTAATTCTAATCTGGGGATGGTTACAGTTTTAATAGGGGCCACTCTGGACTTCGACGTTAATAAATTAACCTGAATGTTCCCGTCGCTATCAATTGTTCTTAAATAAACCGCCGCACCATACGCCCTTTCCGATGCGTCCGAGAATCCATGCAGTTCAATGCAAACGACATTTTGGGGTACTACCTTCCGATTAATGGTAATTGTATTTAGATCGGTAAGGTCCTGAATTAAATCGAGCCATGCGTTATTAATACTAGGTGGAACCTTTTGATCCCATTGTAGATTTTCAAATCAGCATTTTTGTAATAATAATTTAGCCTTCACAACTACGGGGCTCACCAAACCCAGGGGATCAAAAATGCGTGAGACTATCGATAAAATATACCTTTTCGTTAAGCCAGTCTTAGGTAACTTATATGGTAAACTTAATTTATATCCTAGTGTATCGTGACTGTAATTCCAATGTAAACCTAGAGTTTTGTTTTCGTTATGCTTGTCAAAATGAATGTTACATGTGTCTGTGTTATTCGAATGAGGAATTAAATTGATGTCATTAGACGCCCATTTAGCTAACTGGAAACCACCGGAATTCAAAATGAAATTGATTTGTTTTTGCAACTCGATTGCCTGAGGTAATGTATCTGCACCTGTAAGCAGAACGTCTACGTAAAAATCTCGTTTAATCCTCGAACTTGCAAGTGGAAATGATTCGGAATTTTCATTCGCTATTTGTTGTAATGAACGTACGGCTAAGAATGCAGCACTGGTGGTCCCGTAAGTGACAGTTGTTAAACGATAAACTTGCAATGGATCGTTTTTTGTTTCTCTTCAAAATATTTTATGATAATCGCGATCGGGAATGTTTAACATAATTTGGCGGTACATTTTGGTAATGTCTGCATTAATCACGAATTGGTAGTTTCTAAAACGTTAAGTGATTCCAAAAATGTCGTCCTGTATGGTGGGACCTGGCAATAAGTTTTCATTGAGGCTCAAACCGTTGTCTGATTTCATGCTTGCATCAAACACTACACAAATTTTATTGCCCTTGAATACTGCATGATGAGGAATGTAATAAGTATTGGGATTATCTACCTGATTTTCCGCAACTGGTTTCATATGACCTAATGCATAATATTCGCGCATGAAATCTAGGGGAAACCAGCCTATGATGGCATACTTAACTTTGACATCTTAGTATAACCTCATCTATGATACTAGGGATTTTTTTGTGGGTAATTTAAACAAGCAATTATATTGAAATTGATATTAATTCATCAAATTTTCAATATATTCAATATTTATTTTGAAAAAAAATTAAAACCAAAAACCATGAAGTGTGCCATCATAGGCAGTACTCTTCTTATGATGGCACACCCGAATTTTTAGAGTTTTTTTTTAAGTAATGTTAATTTTTATTAAAAATTGACGGGTTATTATGAAAGTAATAAAATAGATTTAAGATAAAGGACTACAATTTGTAGCAAAACGAATCAACAAACGAATAAACTAAATAGAAATCATGAAATAACGAAACATTAAGACATAACTTAACAAAAAAAGTTATTCACAAAGTTCGCAGATGAATTGCTTGATTCTTTTTTTGAACACCCGCTGTCTTCAACCTTTTCATCATCACTGACATAATCCGTTTCTTCTTCAACCAAAATTTTCCTTTTTGCTTTTCTTGATAACTTTTCCCTCTCCTTTGTTGATTTATCTTCTACTTCCTTTTTTAATTCATCAATGTCTGGCGTGGAATTTATATGTCCTTTTTTTACTAGGTTTTCTTAATCTTTTCCTTGAAGCTCCAAGTGAAGCTTGCGACAATGGAGATAGTCCTGAATAGTGAATACTATAATATCTTCGTTTCCTCGTTGACGGAAATCTTTCTGTCGTGGACTTTTTTCCTCCCATAATTGTCTTTTACTGCCCATTCACAATGGGCATAAGACATAAGAACGAGCGCATAACATAATTTACGTTTTTGGTTTGTGTCTGGCTTATGCTTATCTACGTTCACAGTGGACAGAGAGAACTCTGTAACAATTGTTAAACTGCGCAAACGCAGAACGGAATAACTCCCGGCTAAAGATAGAAACGGCCAAAGACTTCAAATATATATAGACTGGCTGTCACCCTAAATTCTATTGTATTTCGTGAAGCAGTTCTGTCAACAGAAATCGCCGCCATTGCTGTTACTTTTCTGTCACTAATAACACCGCAACAACCCATACCCATAACCTATTTCTTTCTTATGTATCACTTTCAGTTGTGACGTGGATGTGATCACAGTTTCTTTGGTTCTTTTGATCGTGTTTCCGTGCATTTAAGATTCAGCAATTATAGTATTGTTGAAGTATATTAGTTTGTGTGTGTATGGTGTGCAACCTCACTATTCATATGAAGTCGATTGTATACGATTTTAAACTTCCCGCGGTTTCGGTCACATCCAAAATGGCGACCGGTTAGCTTCAGCTTTTTCGTTCTATCGCCGATCTATATATATTTGAAGTCTTTGGAAACGGCTAACCTCAAACTGAGTCAATCAAAATATCTAACCTACAATTTCATATGATATTCGAACTTGACAACTCGCAGTACAGAATAAACTCACACTGCGAGCTTTGATTATAATTTATATAATATAACCAAAGGTGTGAAGTGCTAAGTGCCAACTGTCAAAGGGAA